TAACTGCAGCCTACCGGAACTGAAGGGGCTAAAGAGAGGGGGGGGGGGGAGGCGTTGCAAAATGTGGGGTACCCCGAATTTGGCGATTTTAAATTTCAAGTTCTAGCTGGCGTTTTTAAGGTTCTAATTTCAGGTTTGGAAGAAATCCGACAGAAATAAGGGGAGAAGAGAGGGGGGGGGGGGGGAGGGGAGGGGGAGAGAGGAAGGGAGAACCAAAGGAGAAAGAGGGGGAGGGGGAGAGAGGAAGGGAGAAAGAAAGGAGAAAGAGGGGGAGGGAGAGAGAGGAAGGGAGAAAGAAAGGAGAAAGAGGGGGAGGGGGAGAGAGGAAGGGAGAAAGAAAGGAGAAAGAGGGGGAAATCTGACCAAAATCAGGGATGTTGCTGAGGTTACTCAGCATAAGGGGAGAAAAAAAATAAAAAAAATGATTGCTGTTGTTGCCTTGGGCACTGGGCCCTGGGGCCAAGTCCCAGCGTTGAGTTTCCTCAGCGCCCGAATCTGGACGTGTTTGTGGAGATGTGCGGTTGAGGAAATTCACATCTCCACAAGCACGTCCAGATTCGGGCGTTGCGGAAACTCAACGCTAGTGGGACTTGGCCGCTAGAGATAAGTTGCCCGGAGGCTTTTCTTAAAAAAAAAAAAACAAAAAAAAAACAGTAATGGTTTGGCCCATTGCAGGGGTCCCCTGTATAGGCTTAGGAGTAGTGGCCTGTAGATAATGAAAGGTGAAATTGAGAGAAGAATATAGCGTAGTTAAAAAAAAAAAAAAAAAAAAATCGCGCCACCATTGGGCCTACCGTAGCCCAGTTGGTACACCCATTGGGCTGTTGAAATACAGACGCAAGCTCGAATCCAGATGCAATCAGATGAACAGAATGAGCAGAATGTAATGGTTCTGAATTACTTGGGACCGGTCAGCTCAATTATGATATGAAAAAGAAATACTAAAAAAAATTAAAAAAAAGGCGGAAAAGAAAAAAAAAATGCCAAACCTATTGTTGCATATTCCGAGCAAAGGGGTGGACTGACCTGGGGCGAGATACCAGTAGCAAAGAGGATTGGATGGAATGCTTGAATCTGAACGTGTTGGGGGAGAGGTGCAAAAAATTGCCACTGATGTGCTCTGCATCTCTGCGTAAAACACATCCAAGTTCAGACGCTTTATCCAATTCTCTTCGCTAGTGTGGCCTCGCGCCTGGTAGGAGTGACGTTTCAGGCCAGTTTTTTTTTTGTGGGGGGCGGGGGGGGGGTTCATACGGTTAGGCTTGGCTGAACTGGCTGGAAAATTGCATCTGTACCCCATCTTAAGATGGGAGTTCCCTTAATACCCAGTCCCACGGCGGTTGTTTTTCCGGTTCATACGTTTAGGGTCGGCTGAACTGGTGGGAAAATGGCATCTGTACCCCATTTAGAGATCGGAATACCCAGTCCCAGCACGCAACTTGCATCTATACCCAAATGCTGTACCCCATTTAAAGATGAGAATTCCCTTAATATTCAGGCGCAGGGGTTGTTTGTTTTTGGTTCATAAGTTTAGGTCGGCTGAATTGGTGGGAAAATGGCATCTGTGGCTCTTTTGGAGGTTTCCATTCCCTTAATACCCAGCCCCAGCGCACAACTTGCATCTATACCCAAATCTCTGTCCAACCTCTTAAGGTAATACCCAACTTTTGCCTTGCACTAAAATCGTATTTGTACCTGTACCTGTACCTGTACCTCTACCTGTATCTGTACCTGTACCTGCACCTGGCCCCACAGGGCCTCCCCTGAGGATGAAATCATGCTCCTTACCGGTACCCAGTCCCACAGGGGCTCCGTCCAGGAGCATTACATTATGCTCCTTACCTGTACCGTGTCCCACGTCCAGGAGCATCAAATTATTTCATGCTGCTTACCCGTACCCAGTCCCACAGGGCCTCCGTACAGGAGCATGGAATTATGCCCCTTATCTGTGTACCCAGTCCCACAGTTGCAACTCTTTTGTCCCGGCCATTGTAGCGCGTGTGTGGCCCAGGTTGTAAGGGCATGCTGACTTGGCGTCATCCTTCCCGTCCTCCGGATTGGGGCATGCTGACTTGGCGTCATCCTTACCTTCCTCCGGATTATCACCGGCAGTCTCTCTAGAGTTCCATAATGGCAACTAGAAATGGGGGTTGCGCTCCTTGCGGGACTTAACCCAACGTCTCACCACGCGAGCTGACGATAACCCAACATCTCACCACATGAGCTGACGACAGCCATGCACCACTATGAGCTGATGACAGCCATGCACCACCTGTATCCATGTTCCCGAAGGCACACAGTATGTCAAACCCTGGTAAGGTTCTTTGTGTTGCATCAAATTAAACCACATGCTCCACCGCTTGTGCCATCCCCGCAAGGAGCATGGGATTATGCTCCTTACCTGTACCCAGTCCCACAGGGCTTCCGCACAGGAGCATGAGATTATGATCCTTTCCATTACCCAGTCTCACAGGGCCTCCGTACAGGAGCATGAAATTGTGCTCCTTACCTGTACCAGGTCCCACAGGGCCTCCGTCCAGGAGCATGAAATTATGCTCCTGGGTTTCCTGCTCCTGCCCAGGAACAGGACAGGCAAAATCGGGGGACTTGCTCATGATTTGCCCGGGTATGTCCGCAATTTGGGCATTCCGGTAGTTGGACATAACCGCATTTTGGGCGGTACTACTAAGTTACCGTGGCAATTTGGCCGTACTACTAGTTGTGCGCCACCTCGGTTCCGGGCACAGACGATTTATCCCTTTTTTTTTTGAAAGGTCGACAGCCTTGAGATATCATCGTTAAACTGACCGGCCCCAGATAATTCAGAAATATTGTTCATCTGGGTCAATCTGGATTCAAACTCCGGTCTGCATTTCAACAGTTTGTGGGTGTACCAACTGAGCTAAGCTCATTGACCATTTCTCGATTTATGTTTGTCATCCTTGAGCAGGGGGGGCATGCCAATCAAGCTTCTCTTAAAAAAATAAAATAAAAAAATCAAGCTTCTCTGTATTGTTATTCCGATTTGAGGGACGTGGACATAATTTCCACAGGCCGTTTCCCGGGAATAGATGCAAGTTGGGCTCTGGGATGGGGTATAAAGGAAACTCCCATCTTGGAACAGGTTACAGATGCAGTTTTCCCTTTTCCTAAGGATTCCCCCCCCCGCCCTTCCCCTCTTCTTGCAACTGGAGTATCTCTTGATACTTACTATTTGGGATCTATCTGAGTCCTGTCAGGATTCGGACCCATGATGTGCTTCCATTTACCACTCAGCCGCGGGGGTCCTTTCTTTTCTTTTTTCTGTTTTTTACAACTGAACGCTCTGTCCTCTTCGTGTGGAATCCCCCTTGGGGGGGTTACATGATCAAAGCTGTAATGTGAATCCGAGAAGCAACTAAACACCAAAAACAAAAAACAAGGAAGAAGAACAAAACACCATGCGGGCGAAAAAAAACAAACGAGAAATCAGTCCGTCAAGACATCACATCCTCCTGAGATTATGTGAGTTTGCAGCCAACCTGCAGGTGGCCGACAGTGGCCATGATCGAGCATTTCCTTTTTTCTTTCCAAAATCAAGTAAAAAAGCTACGAAAGGGGCCCAGTGTCCCTACAACAATTGCTGCGGCTCTAGGGATGAGCAGGGCTCACCAGCCAAGCTTATCCCTCATGACCGAGCAGTTTGAGATTTCAGATTCCAGTCGCTGCGCCTCCCCTCAGCTCCCCCCCTCCCCCTACGAACATCCCCTCCCCCTCAGCTCCCCCCTTCCTCTGACGGACATTCCATCCCCCTACGAACATCAGCTGTATCTGCTTAATTAATGCTGATCATAGGGGCCAACGGGCTATCTCGAGATGGTGGGTGCCAAGCATACCCACGAAGGTGAACATGACCGCAGTGGGAGGTGAACCCATGACCTCCTGAATGCCACCACTTGTGTGTGCCTTACCGTTTGAGCTAGGCCATATGCAGACCATTATTATTAGCTGTTATTAGCTATTGTGTCTGGTTAATTAATGCCGGTCATGGGGTCCAACGGACTATCTCTAGATTACGGTGCCAAGTATACCCACAAAGGTGAACATGACGCCACTGGGTGTTGAACCCATGACCTCTTGAATGACACCACTTGTGTGCCTTGCGAACTGAGGTGGCCACTGGCTATCCTTCAAAATTGGCCCGTAGTGCAATTATAACTCATTTTCGTGACTCCTGCATAGTTTCCCCTATTTTCTATTATTAGCTGCTATTATTGGGAATGAGCGTGGCCAACTTATAACAGGTACGAAACTCTACCAGATACGGCCTCATGACCTCCTGAATGCCAGCACTTGTGTGCGTTACCAACTGAGCTAGGCCGCTGACTACCCTTGAAAATTTGAATGATACACAGATGATCATTATGATTTGCTATTATTAAGATGGGAGTTCCCTTAATACCCAGTCCCAGCGGGGGTTGTTTTTTCGGTTCATACGTTTAGGGTCGGCTGAATTGGTGGGACGTCTTGAATAACACCACTTGTGTGCCTTGCGAACTGCGGTAGGCCACTGGCTATCCTTGAAAATTGGCCCATAGTGATCATTATGATTTGCTATTATTAAGATGGGAGTTCCCTTGAAAATTTGAATGATACACAGATGATCATTATGATTTGCTATTATTAGCTATTCCTATTAGCAATGAGCATGGCCAACTTCTACCAGGTACGGAATTCTACCAGATATAGAACCTGCTGGGGTAAAGGACGACCTTTTTAGAAAATCTAGCAGATATAGGACCGGCTCAAGTGACAGAGATTTCCGCAAGGTTTGATAAACGAAATGGAACCGAAACGAAACCCAGGAGCACCTACCTCTGTTGGAGCAGCTCCCCAACACAGCCATTGAAGAGTATTCAGTTTTCCTGTTGAGCGCCACCGAGCTGGATACCTGGATTATTGAGTGGACGGGTGGGTGACAGGCAACTGCGGTGCACTGCGAAATGGGCGGGTGGGTGCAGGTGCGTTGTCAGCGGCAGCAGCAGCAGGTCGAGGCCAAAGCCCAAAGCCGAAGCCTAATGTGGAACGTGGTGGTCCCCACCAGAGTCAGAGGCAAGTGGAGCCGGTTCGTGTTTACTCAGAAAAGGACCTGTCGAAGGAGATCGAGAAGGCGGCGGCAATGCTAGTGCCAGAGACAGACTGGTCTGTTCGAATGAAGGTCATGCAGCGAGTTGAAGGTCTCGTTGCTGGTGGAGCATCCGACTTTGATGCCTTTCCGGGAATGCTACTAAGGCAAATGAAAGATGCAATTGCCGGCCAGTTACAGGACAGGCGCTCAGCGATCGTGCGGCAGACGTGCCAGATGTTGAATCTGCTAGCCAAGGAGTTGCGTTTTGCATTCGAACCTCTTGCGGAGTTCTTGATTCCTGTGCTTTTGAAGCTTGTTGTGATCACGGTGCTTGTCATTGCGGAATCCGCAGACAACTGCATCCGGACAATGTTGCTGCACTGCCGTGTGGCAAGGATAGTTCCACGAATTGCAGACTCTGCCATGCACGATCGGAGCCCTCCTCTGAGGTTACGGTGCTGCGATTACGCTCTCCTGGTCTTAGAGAGCTGGGGTGAGGCACCAGAGGTCACCCGGCTTGCTGATCTTTATGAGGAGCTGATCAAATGCTGCGTTGGTGATGCAATGAGTGAGGTCAGGGCCACGGCAAGACAGTGCTACCGAGTGTTTGCGCTGAGATGGCCTGATCGAGGGAGACGGCTGTTCAGCCGCTTCGATGGGAGCACGCAGAAGCTATTAACAGAAGAAGAGTCCTTGGCTTCTACTACGTCAAAGGGATCTTCTTCTTCTCTTTCGCTGACGGCTCGTGAATTGAAGGGTTTGGTGGTGGGATCTCGACATGCTGTGTCTGCTGCCGGGACCACGACCGGCCAGTTGAGTTCATTGAACCAGAATGCGAATTTCCAATCCGGCAGTCATAATGACGGATCAGTGTCGGCTCCTGCGGGCCAACCGGGACAGGGGCAGAGTGTCCCAACAGGAAAGAAACAGGCCGCAGGTGGCGGGGGAGGGCCAGGCAGCGGCCGGGGAAATGCAGCTGTGAATGGAGGCGGTGAAGGTAATGGGAATCTGCAAGCCAAACCTTCGAGGATTGCTGTTGTTGCTCCGACTTCTCCGTCTCGAGAAGCAGCAGCTGCACCTGCTTCAGGCTATGTCAGTTTATATGCAAGGAGAACATGTGAGAGAGTCCCTCAAAAGGTGGTTGGTGGTGATAAGCTGGTAGGAGATGAGGGGGTACAGGAGTCTGAGAACTTGAGTGGGGAGTCGTCTGGGAACTCTTGTGGAAGGCCTCTCCCCTGCCGTGCACCGGCCTCAGGAGGGGTTTCCTCCGTTGGTGCACGACCAGGCGCAATGGCAAAAATGCCCTTGGAGGGTTTGAAGCCGTCAAGAGTGGAGGTTGATGGAGGAGGGCTCACAATTGCAATTCCAGGAGCACAGGGTCCATCTAATAATAACGGTCCATCCAATCAGAATTCACCCCAAACTTCCGCATCGTCAGCCTCAAGTAGCGGTGCTGCTGCACACAGGACAGGGACAGCCTTGGAAGGTGCAAGGCGGGTGCTTATGCCTCAATCGCCAGTACATGGTCTTGTGAGAGACAGCGTAGTTGCAGCTGGTGGTATAGGATTAGATATCAATGCAAAACATTCAGGAAATGCAGCGAGTTCTGAAGTTAGTTTTCCTACAGCAGCAGGCATAGTGTCCTCCAGAAGAGCTATGGCCGCTGACGAGAATACAGCGAGTGGCAGGTACGGAGAGCCGGTGATAGATCATGGTACCGAGGATTCAATTCATACATTTTCTGTGAGTGATGGGCTCCCTAGCATTGCCCCCAGACAAGGGAGAAGGGCTATGCCTGGGTCTGGAAGGCTTGGAGGAGGACTCGTCCAATTGAATTCCGTGGGTGGGAGAGGGGGAGGATTGCCATACTATGCAGCACGCGATGACGACGAGAGATCTGTTGGCAGTACAAAGTCTAGCGATGATGAAAGTCTTGGCACAGTGGCTTCAAGCCTGATGGCCCCCTCGTCCAGGGCAGGTGGAGATGACCTGACGACTGGCCTCCCGGAAGCTATCGCTGCTGCGTACCTAGCAAATGCCGACTGGTCGTCCCGCGTAACGGCCTTTGTCACATTGCGAAAGACGCTGCAGAATGGGCAGAAGGGTGTCTCTGAAGTGCTTGCAAACTTCGACAAGGTTATGATCCTCTATTCTTCATTCCTCGGGGACTCTCATCACCGAGTAGCTCAGGCGGCGCTTGCGGCTTTGGCGGAACTCCTACCATTGTGCCGAAAGAGCTTTGAGGCATACTTAGAGAGAATCCTTCCCCTGCTCTTCAACCGGCTTATTGACCAGAAGGAAGCCTCGCGCAAGATGTCTGCACGAGTCCTGAAGACAGCAGCAGAGCTGTACCCTATTGAGCTTTTATTGCCTGCATTGCTGCGATCTCTGGATGAGCAGCGCTCACCAAAGGCGAAGATGGCAGTCATTGAGTTTGGGGTCTCAGCATTGAAGAGACCGAGGATGGCAGTTGGTGAACACGTCCCTGCTGTAAGTAGTATTATGCTGAAGCACTGGATGTCCAAGCTGGTGCCTCTTACGAACGACAAGCAGCAGAAGCTACGATTGACCGCCGTTGCAGGTATTGTAGCAGTTCATTCGCAACTGGATGCAAACACAGTTGTATCATACATTGCCAACATGCCCATTGAGGAGCAAAGTCAGCTGAGGAAGGTGTTGAGGCAGTATGCGCCGGCAGTGGAAGCTGATTTGCTTCTGGTGCAGTCTGGAAAGCAGCGCCAAGCTCGGATCAGGTCGCTGATGATGGACACTCGTCCCACGGAATCAGCTGCAGATACTACTGCTGTAGCGGCAACGAGAGCAGGTGGTGGTGGGGGGAACACTGCCCTTGACATCTTAGGAACAGTAGCTGGGATGGGATATCAAAGTCCAAGAAGTCCGCAGAGTCCTTGCGTAACGGAAAGGAGGAGGAGGAGAAGTGGAAGCTTGGGGGCAGTGGAGGGTGCAGTGTTTGCAGCAGAGTTGGCAAAGGATATAGACACTGGAGCGGGGAGTTTGGCAAGCAGGGGCCTTACTGGTGAAAGTAGCCTCAATAGTCTTGCGAGTGTGTCGACGGTCTGTAGTGCCAGGACTGTGGATGATGAGACTATGATGATGAGATCTAGGAAGAGCTTGGGTGGGGGAAGGGAAGGACGGCGATGCTTGGGTGACATGTCCACATTTGCAGTGCTAGACGGAGAAAGCAATGGTGTCGATGGGGTTGACCGGGTGTTGGAAAGAAGAAGAGGGAGTGTTGGCGGAGGTGACAAAGGAATGGCAAGGAGTCCAGTTTCGCCATACAGAGGCACACGGAATGGTGCACTCTCTCCGTGCAGGGGCGGAGCTGCCCTACGGAGGCACACAGAAAACGATTGGAGCCTATTGCAACAGAATATGAGAGATGATGGGTCAGTGGATGCTGCTATAGAGGGCTCAGGACTTGGTGTGATCGATGGTGCAGAGAACAGAGAACGGGAGACACGAAGAGCGCTCGGGAGCAGGTCACCTGGAAAGTTTAATGGCTCAGGAGGGAGAGGACGCCGGAGGTCATCCCTGGGAGGGGGATCCTCAGGTGGGCCTTCTCCTTGGAAAGGCATGCCGCTGTCATTGGGGGCCACCGCTACAGAAGAAGATGACACTCTTCTTGCTCGTTTAGTTGGCCAGGGGAGAGGGACAGATGAGCGGCAAGAGGAACTTCAGCAAGTTCTTCAGTTCTGCAGCAGCAGGCAGAATGGCCCGGCGATGCCAGATGAGCAGGATAGCCTACAAGACTACATGGAGGCGATAGCAGGCAATGTAATTGCTCTCAAAGCGGATCAAAGTAAAACGGCCCAAGAATGTGCGAATGAGTGTCTGGACATGATCTTCTCTGGCATGGATCCGCTGCGCTGCCTAACCGTGCTGCTGCCGCAACTGGAAACTGACGATGAGAAGATTCTGGTGCCGTGCTTGGGAATGCTGAACGAGGTTGTTGTGAGACTAACAGAAGAGCAGCTCACAGACCAGTTGCCGCTGTTGCTTCCGCCTTTGTATGAAGCATTTGGGAGTCCACATGCAGCTGTTCGAAAGGCAGTGGTGCTCGCACTGGTGGAGATGTACATGATGCTGGGTGATGCGTTCATTCCTCACTTAAGTGGGCTACCCCACACGCAACTCAAGCTGGTGACAATCTATGCCAACCGAATTACTCAGGAACGGATGGCACAAGGCGTCAACCGTCCAACTAGATGACACTATGCTGAAAGTGCAAGTGAGTGAGAACATGAATTGTCTTAGCCATACTGGGAGGAGTTGGAAGGGTCCCCACGCTGCCCATCTTCCACCTCTCCTCCACTCCACCCCTTGATCTTCCCGCCTCATTCATTTTTTAAGTTTGGAAGTGCATCACAACACCCTCTCTCTCTCTCTGTCCCCCACAAACACACATGCACACACATATACACAATCCTGTATTTATTTATTATGATTGTTTTGCTGTCTTCTTCTTCCCAGTATTTTCCTCGCATTCCTTGGCCTTTTCTTGGGTGTTTCTAAGTGCCCAAGTTTAGTACCTTTAAGAAGTGCCAAATAGTTGGCGCCTGTTTGTATAGAGTGCCTGTAACACGATCAGGATGGCTGCTGTGTTTGGGATGCCTGTGTCTCTGTGTTTCCTGAGTGATGGCCGACACTTGTCTTGTGGGTTCCTGGCTCTTCGTGGTACTGCGAACCTGCAGCGTGCAGGTTTTTCCATATGATGTGAGTGGCTGATGCTTTGATCTTTGCAGCATCCACGGGTTTGTGTTGCTGTGTGCCTTGCTGTGTTGGTGTTCTGCCCGCCCGCCTGCCTGCCTGCCTTGCCGTTCAATGCTTTGTTCCCTCACTGATCACTGTGCTGCCTTGTTGCTAGCCTTGCTTGGCTGTCTTGTTCCCTTGCAGCCCGCTCTGCTGCCCTGCCGGTTGCTTTGCCTTGCCTTACCTTGCCTTGATGCTTTTGTGCTGCCTCACTGCCTTATTGCCCTCTCGCCCTGGCGCTTTTCTGCATTTTGCTGCTCTATGGTCGGTACTACTGGGGGAGGCTTGTATCACCGACAGTAATACCCCTGACAGATGCCAAAAAAGAAAAGAAAAGGACTTGCTGCCTTGCTGCCTTGTTGCCTCGCTGCCCTGCATTACTGCCTTGCTGTCTCGTTGCCTTCCTGCCCTAAAGCTTGCCTTGCCTTGCCTTGCTGCCTTGCTGCCTTGCTGGTTTTCGGTTGGCCTTGCCTTGCTGCCTTGTTGGTGCCTGCCCTCTCACCCGACTGCCTGCCCACTTACCTTGCTGTCTTTGTGCTTTGGTTTGCTCTTTGTTGCCTTGCCCATGCTACACTGCATGCTTTCCTGTGTTTGGCCATCCGCAACAGGGTTTGATGTTTGGTTATGACTCCAAGCATTGTGAGGGGATCCTGCAGACGGTGGAGGGTTCAACCTCCTGATGAGTCTCGTCAAGTCCGATGAAATAGTCTGTCGCTACTTTTGTGTTTCTCCCGCGCTGTATGTCTATGTGTTATCCGTTTCTGCTCGTTGTCTTTGCATATATGTGTGGGCCTTTGGGAATAGTCCTGTCCGCGTAAGTCTTTTCATCGAGTGTTTGGGAATAGACCTGTTAGCGTAAGTCTTTTCATAAAGTCTTTGGGAATAGTCCTGTCACCCCAATTCTTTCGTCAACTTTTTGGAATAGTCCTGTCAACCTACAAGTCTTTTCATCGAGTCTTTGGGAATAGTCCTGTCAGCCGAAGTCTTTTCATCCAGTCTTTGGGAATAATCCTGTCAGTCAGCCTAAGTCTTTTCATCCAGTGTTTGGGAATAGTCCTGTCAGCAATAAGTCTTTTCATATTGCTATGAAGATTAGCTGCATCCAGTCTTTGGGACTAGTCCCGTCAGGCTAAGTCTTTTCATCGAGTCTTTGGGAACAGTCCTGCCAGCATTAAGTTTTTTCATTTTCCAGTAGTGGTTCCCTTCAACATGGCCAATGAATCGTGTGCTATGAAGATCAGCTGCATCCAGTCCTTTAAGTCTTCTCATCGAGTCTTTGGGAATAGTCCTATCAGCATTAAGTCTTTTCATCTTCCAGTAGTGGTTCCCTTTGACATGGCCAATGGATCGTGCTGTGAGGATTGGCTGCATCCAGTCTTTGGGAATAATCCTGTCAGCCTAAGTCTTCTCATGAAGTCTTTGGGAATAGTCCTGTCACTGGCTGTCAGCATTACGTCTTTTCATCTTCCAGTAGTTGTTCCCCTTCAACATGGCCAATGGATCGTGCTATGCAGATTAGCTGCAAGGACCGGAATCTTTATACTGCAAGGTATGTGGAGATTTCATATAGCGTAATTTGCTACAGTATATTTGAACACAAACTTCCACTCACAGGCCACCTACCCCGATTCCTATTGCACCCGAATCTGCTGCTTCTGTGACAGCCCACAGCGTTTCACTCACAGGCCATGACTCAGATATTTGCTCTCACAGGCCACCCATTGTCGATCACTATCACACTTGAATCCGCTGCGTCCAAGACAGGGGGGGAGGCAGCTCAGGATTTGGGTTACCCCTTTTGTGTGGAGAAGCTTTGGCACAGCTGTGGTGCTTAAATGGCTACCACTGCCGACACTTGGTCAAGCAGCGATCAGTTGCTGTTATGCTTGAATTGCTGGCATTTGTCATGATCATTCATATATTTTTTTGATCATTCATATTTCTTCAGCCCAGTCTGATGATACATCTTTTGTTATTTTGGTGTTGGATCTGCTAATGACGAGTGAGTGGCATGCAACAGGTGCTCATAAAAGACTGTTATGATGGGATTTGAAAAAACTGGGCGACTCAAATGATTGATGCTTCCTGGAATCTGTCCATGATTGTCACTGGTACACAGGATTATGCCAGAATAATACTCGAGCGAGGCTGATGTTCTACGACTACCGTCTTCACCTGAATAGAACGCCGAGTCATATTTGAGCTGCATTCGGTGCACCTTTCAGTCTATAAGATACAGCGAGAATGACTGGGCATTCTTTCCGGGTGAAGACGGTAGCTTTCATGAAATTTCTTTTGGCTGTTGGGCCTTCCGTTTTGCCTCCCTATCCATAATCACATGCTTCGGAACCTTACATTTTGCCCGGCCATGTTCCTTTCATACTCTTTGTCGCACTGCTGATTGATTGTGCACAACCGGGATGAAACAGGGGTGGGTAGCAGGTGCCCCTCAGGTAACCTTGAGGAATGCGTATGTCGCTGTCCGTCTTCATAGTCTGAACTGGTGGTTTCATTTTGGAGTTTCAGTGCCATGTTCTTTTTGTTGAGTCTCTTCTTATCATGGATGTGGAGAAGAGCTTACATTTTGTCTGTTCCATCTGATCCCACTTGTTTGTGCATATCTTCCAACCTATCAGATTACTCTCTTTCCTCAGGGCACTTGGGCATTTCAACGGCCTACTTGGTGAGTTTGGTATGCCTGCAAGCAATCGTGCCGGCGATGCAGCAGAGTTTAAACGTGTCTTGCCTTTGATAGTACATGAATGCCCAGTCTCTGACTTTCTCCATGCTCAAGGGGCCTCGGTAGTTTTGTGGATTCTTTTTTTTTTTTTTTTTGGCTCATCCTTGAGCAGGGGCCATGCTAATCTGCTCTGTATCATTCCAATTTTATCGGATGTCCCAATGGACAGATTCGTGGATTTCTTTGTATTGCTGTCCTTAAAAAAAAAAAAAAACCATCTATTAAACGTGACAAGTTGACAACCCGCCCCGTTTAACTCCGTGTTATTTTATCCATCTGATTCCGTCCGGATTCGAACTCAGGTCTTTGCTTATCAGCAGTTCATGGGTGTACCAGTCAGCCACCTGCACTGGGTATTACTGTCAGACTTGGAATTTCACCCATGACAGGTTTGCATTTAAGCCCATTCATGAAAGTGCCACTTGCTGGTTCGATATCTTTCTTTGTTATGATCCTGGCCAATTTCAGAGTACACATTCATCAGAAAGTACAATGCCGTCCACTTGCAAAAAGAAATGAATTAACTTGAGGGGAGAGAGGGAAAGAAGAAGAAGAAGAAGGAAGAAAAGAAGAAGATGATGTACACCAGCATAGACCAATGAGAAAGCTCTTCTTCTGCGTCAATGACTCTCCTCCTCCTTATCTCCTCCTCTCTTATTCACACAAGAAATAATAATAAAATGTTGAATGGCTGAACCAGAATCAAAGTACGAATCCCTCTTCTACTGCAGGTATCACTTGAGGTCCACCATAGCCATGGCCGCCTCCCTCACTCTTCACTCTCATAGGCCGAGGCTATGGCGGACTACTAGGGCCTCGCCCTGATGTGCAAAGGACAACACAGAGCAGCTATGGCTGCTCTAGCTCAGGCCGCCATGGCTGACTCTACCTCGAAGCTTCTTGGTGTAGCTCTCCCCCAACTGGGGCCTTCTTGCTGCAGCGTCCACCAAGGTGATGAAGATCGCAACCACCATAGCCAGGTAAGTACCTCTGGCGCTCCTCCCTCCTAGTCCTGGTCTTCTACCTCCTCCTGTCCTTGCTCCTCCCCAGCAGCGCTGCTCCGTGCTAGCGCTGCTCCAATCAGTGCTCCAACCAGTGTGTCGCCAAACTTGCACACCAAGAATGAGGCTGAGCTCTTGGCTCAGGCCGAAGATATAGCGGCCTACTTGCCTCTTGGGCAGTGACTTCCAGGCCGCTCGGCCTTCCAATCAACCGGTACCTCCTTCCTTTCGGAGGGAAACATCATTGCAGACTCTGATATTGCCTGTACAGACCCTAGACTCAGACTGGTTGGACAAGTACCCGCCTAGACCTAGCCTACAACTACCGGGCCTCTAAAAATGCCAACTTTGTCTTCTTCTGCGAGGCCTCGAGTACCCGGCACGTCTACCTCTAAATGGTGCGGTACCGGCTTACCTGCTACTTGAGTGTTTCCCGCTGCTTCAAGTGTCGCGGGCCTCTTTCCCCGCCACTTCAGTGTTTTCCCCGCTGCAATCCTCAATGTCACGGCCACAGGTAAGTACCGGCCCTTCTGGCCCATTGAAAGAACAAGTGCCCTTGCGGGTCACACACACACACAAGCCGACAAGCACTCCGACAGACATGCAGACCAGCAAGCGTGCACACACACAGACTTAGGGAACTCAGTAACAAGCGGGAAACTCAGCAAGGCATTCAGTCCATGAGCAAAACTCAGAAATCAGCTGTGTGTCTCAGTCCGTGTTTGGTCAGGTCATTCC